AAGAATTCTCAGTTGATGTTCGGTTTCTCCCCCCCACCCCCACACAGACTGAACGTTGTCCAAGATTGTTCTTTAGCTGAATCAGAATCACCTGGAGGGCTTGTTAACACACTCGTTCCACTCCCAGTTTCTACAAATAGTTGTTGAAGGCAACCAACTATTACATCCACCATATCCCTCAAGCATCATGCCCAACGGGGAAAATTATTCTTCAGGGCTTAGCCCTGTGGAAAACTTTGCATCTCTGAGATTTGTAGGATTCTGCACTCCCCTCACTCCGCTGGTTCTTTCTTCCCATCTGCATTCTTTCTTTCCCAAGTCCTCCTCTCTTCCATGACAAACTACCTTGGCTGTCCCGTGTCTGGCCCACGGACCAGCAATATCAGAATAATCTGGAAGCTTGTTAGAAATGCAGAACCCCAGGTCACAGCCCGAAGTCCCTGAACCAGAACCTGCGTTTCAACAAAATCCCTGTGACCTGTGACGTGTAAGTACCTTAAACGTAAAGAAGCACTTCTCTGGGATGAAAATGGTCCTAAAATACACCCCACCCCCACCAGTCCTGCCTGGAGTGGAGACAGACCCAGGCTCACCTGGAATCTGGGACGTAGGGACTCAGATGCAGTTTCCAGCGCCTGTTCTGTGGCCCTGCTACCTGTTGACCCAGGGCGGGCCTCACCGCACGCAGGGATCCCCAAAGCCACCCTGGCTCCCTAGGCCTCGACCTCGGCTGACCTGTCTTCCCAACCCTGGCGTTTTGCCGCCGCCTCGGTGCAGCTCTCCAGGGAGGGAGGCGACATCACTGCGGGCCTCGCCGCCGTCTAGTCCCGTAAAAAAGAACTGTCGACCCACCTTTCCCACAGCCAATGGCACATCTGCACCGGGTGGGCGTCCTGGCGTCTCCAAGGGTCCGAAGTCACATTCCAGCTCTTCTCTCGTGCTCCGCCTCCCCGCGGGACAAGCCCGCCCCTCGGGCCCTTCCTGCAGGGGTAAGAGCCCCGCGCGCTTCCGGGGGCTGGGGGGCTTCCGGGGGTTGCACCCCGGACGTGCCCGGCGGCCGGCATGCAAATGAGGGCAGTGGGCGGGGCGCGGCGCGGCGGGAGCCGTCGAAGCTCGCCCCCTGGAAATAGCGGCCCACTGTTGCCCATCCTAGATTTTTATGTGAGCTCCCCTGATTTTATTGCGGCAAGAAACTTTATTTAAAAAAATTTTTTTTTAATATTTTTTTTAAACTAGAAGAGCCAAAGAAAGCCTGTTGCAGGTTGTACTTGGCCTGTACCCAAAACCAAGTTTTCTATGGCTTTCTCCTGCCTGCACCTTCATCTCTCCAGTCACGGTCAAGACCAGCAAAGCTCACCTCCTCTACACGTCCCAGCTTCCTTTTCTTTCTTTCCCTCTGCCAGGTGGATCGATGCACCAAAGAAGGTGCTGTTAACATCTCGTATCCCTTCCTCCATTACTTTGTAGTAAAACCCACCGAACAACCGCCGAATTATTCTAATACTGTTCCAATCATATACACCACTTTTCTAAAGCCCTTTAGATTCCCCCTGACCTGCAAGCTGTCAAAACTCTCTCAAATGGCATCCCTCCCCAACCCCAAGCCTCCCGTTCCCATCCCTAATTAGTGGTGCTTTTCAGTAGAGCTCTTAAGGCTTGGACAAGCCTAGTGGTGGTTGTGGAGACGGAGATGGACAGACAGATCTGAAAAGTATTTAAAAATTATAGTCAGCAGCACAGGCTCCTAAGACCCTCGTTCCAGAGGAAATTATCAACTATTTACTTCCCATCAATGCCTGGATAAGATGTAGCATATTGTGCACATGAGCTTGCACACTGTCAGCCTGATGGTCAAATTTGTTCTACAAATATCTGTTGTTTAGCCTGCATTGCTTTAAAAGAAGGAAGGAAGGAAGGAAGGAAGGAAGGAAGGAAGGAAGGAAGGACGGAAGGACGGAAGGAAGGAAGGAAGGAAGGAAGAAAGGAAAGAAAGAAAGAAAGAAAGAAAGAAAGAAAGAAAGAAAGAAAGAAAGAAAGAAAGAAAGAAAGTTAGTTTAACTTTCTAAAAATAGTGATTGAACATAAAAATCAGGATTCCTGTCCAAAAAAAGTTAGTGGTGACAAATCCAGATCAAAACTTCTATATGGCTGGAGTTGAATGTTAGCTGCCTCTTCAGATACAGTACCTTCTGTTCACAGCCTTCACCTAGCCCAACTAAGAAAAATAAGGAAAGGCTTCTGGAGACTTCAGAAGTGAATTTTAAAAGGGAATCAAATGTTTCTGATGTCATTCATAAATTTAATTCATAGGTAAATTTTTTTAAAGGTACAAATTTAGCAAAAATGTATAATGTATTCCCCGCCCTTCCCCTACTAAGTGTTCGTTTCTTGTATTAGGCTTATTTGCTAATGTGCTCACAAATTTTAAGTCCTGTCCAGTTATATATAAAATTCATAAGTCAGGTGAGCCTTCATTGTTAACATTTCTAAATGGTTCAGCTTTAGCCACCCCGTGTTAGATTGTCCAAATGGCCCTCCAGATCCACCCATGCACCTCCCCTTGGGCCCTACAAAAAGACTGTCTAAGGGCCATCTTTGGATTCTGACTGGGTTTGGCCAGTGCTGGGAACCAGCTGGGTTTTGGAGGGAGGGTGAGGTCAGGGTGTCCAGCCCCCGAGCTTAGTCGCAGAAGGGATGTCTCAGACTGGCTGTGTTCCACTTCAAATGAAGGCAGCCCTTCCCTGGGTTCAGTGAACGGGGTGGCTACTCCCCTCCCTGACCTCTGTGGGTACAGAACACTCCTAGTGGTTACCCTCCACCTTTAGAATCTTGGCTCAAATTTTCTCCAACTTTTCTAATTTGAGGGTGTTATCTAGGCTACTACAGCCTGACTAATCCATTTTTCCAGTCTCCACTTGTAACTGAACACTAACCAAATAAATGCAAGAAAAAAATATCCTTGTAAGAGTCATTTTCTAGAATTTGAGTATCACTATTTGGGAAAATTTGCCTTTAAGTAGTGAAGAATTTTAGAATTAAACATTCTATCTTTAAGCCTGAACTGTTTCTAAACACTTAACCAAAAAATATATATGCAATACTTAGCCTTGAAAGTTAAAAAATGGCATTTCATCTAAAATTATGTATATTTAATCCTAGAAATACCGCCATGTTTGTATTATGATGCTTCCATTGGTATTCTGGCATATCAGTGCCATCTGCTGGAAAGTTAATACAATTAGGTATTCCAAATTCCCGTTTATCTTTCGGGGGTGGGGGGGCAGTAGGGAGTAAACATAATCTTCATTTAAGAAAAAAAGCTTTATTTTTAAATACCCAGTTACCTAACTTCCACATCGTTATCAGTACAAACTCCAATTAATTACAAAGCACTAAAGTCTAAAACTTCTAATTTAAAAAACACTAAATATCTCTTTCTATTGAAATAGCCCTTGGTTTCTAAAATATTCTTCCATTTTCCTGCTCTATGTATGAAGTTCAGTATGCCTCAACTTGTCTCTGCCTCTTGCGGACCTTTACCAAGGTGAGAGATATGTGAAAGATACGTGTTTAGATACAATATATACGACACATATTTAAGTAAAGACATACATGTGCTTTAGGACCCGACACAGTTTTAGTTGTGAGGTGAGTAAAAGCAGACAGATGTAAGGGCTGGATCCTGGGGTGCTTTCACCATCTCTAAATAGCAACCGAAATAGACATCCATCAACAACATGGTGCATGTCAACTGTTAAATTTTCTTATAAATAAAAATTGCACAAATATTCTAAATGATAATATAGAAACATAAACGATTGCTTAACTGATTTTAATAACATGACATAAAGCCCCTACAGTTGATATAATTGTTATGCAAAATACATAGATGAATACTGTCTTCTTTTAAAAATATAAAATAAATAAGCAAGACATGTGAAAATAGGCAAGTTTCCATTAAATAAAAGAAAATTTTAAAAAAATTTTGCTTTCCATATCATTTGAAGAAGGGAAATTATCATGTTAAACAATATTCAAGTTTATTAAACAAATTTAAAAAGTATTATAAAATGTTTAACTTTCATCAGCTTCAAGGTTTATGTTACTCCCAAATTTTGCATATAACTGAACTTTCAAATCTGCTAACACCCGCTGAATTGATTCCACTCTGGATTCTAAGGCGTCAATTTCTTCTTGCAAATTTTTCTGGAAAAAAAATAGTTTAAATTAATTCTATTCAACTGGATGATTTCTGAGCATCTGTGGGTGAAATAATATTTGGGGAGAATTTTAGGTCAAAAACTTTCTAAACTTGGACAGGCAGCTAAATAACACTGATAATTAAATCTAAACCAAAAGTCTGAATGTGGGCATTTTTCATTCATGATCTATTTTTGCTTATTACAGAAAATAAAGTTTTTCTCAGTTTTGGCTGACTTGATAAACAGAATAGGCAAAAGAAAATGAATTCCTAAATTATCATATCCTAATAAAGAAAGAACCATACACAAACACTTGGGGTAAACAGTTTATCACAGGCCTGGCTTCTGGCATAGCCTCTTTCAACTTCCACAAAAATAACTAAGAAACTAGAGGAAATGGTAAAAATTCACACTGCCACCACTAATTAAGAACAACTTATCATCAAAATCTGGTAGACATTTTCCCCTAACTACAAGGCTCCCGGAACTAGACTTTGAAAGCGCAGATTGGCCACACGAAACATGTGGAATGTCAGAAATTCCTTCCAGGCCAGGATCAGAAAAGACTTTTTCCTAAACATGACAAACAACGAAATCACACAAATACTGTATGTACCCACTATCAGGAACAAAAGAAGAATGCCTACTACTGACACAGTTATTCTTTTAGAAATCCGGCCAGTGGTTCCCCAAGGGTGGCCTCCAGATCACCTGGAAAGTTGTTAGAAATACAAGCTTTGGGGCTCCACCCCAGGCTTCCTGAATTAGAAATTCTTGGGCTTGGGCCCAACAATCTGAACTTTTAACAAGCCCAAAGCTTGTCTATCAGTTCATACTCTGACCCCCAGCAATTATACTCCTCTGATTATTTCCTTAAAAGAACTGCCTAAATGTGAACAAAGATTTACGTAGAAGAATGCTCAGCACAATATATTACTATAGGAAAACAAGTGAACGTAACAACAGGAGGACAGTGAGCTGAATCAACGTCCACCAGCATGACGTTCAACAGTCGTCACAAATGATGTTTGTAAAGCACATGTGGCTGGCCCAGAGCAGACTCCCAGTGAAGGGCTGCCAGATAAATTCTGAACATTGAACGGAACAAGAAAATACTCCTCTTGGGATGTTAACTGACCAAAATGTAAGCAAAAATACACAGAGAAATAGGAGGAGAGAACGTAAAAGAAATACATAAAAACGTTCATTATGGATCATTATCCCTGGTAATGGGACTAGAGGTGGTTTTTTTTTTTCTACTTTATGATAGTATGTACTTTCTAAATACTACTACTTAGAGCACAGCTTCTGGAGTCAAAAGATCATTCCCTTTGTCACTATGATTCAGACCCATTAACCTCTCTAAGCCTCTATTCTTCAATGCTTAATTGGGATTCCTGGTACCTATCCCATAGAGTCATCCTTAGGATTAAATAAAATCATGCTTACAAAGCATTCAGAGCAGGCCTGGGACACTGTAAGAACCCATAGCATGTTAGTTAGCACACCTTATTTCCCTCCCACCTAGAATTACACATTCCTTACAATGACATAAATCCTAGTTTAAGAGTTAAGACTTTATCACCCAGGAAAAAATTTCAACACACCTTTGCTTCTTCTAACATTTCTTGTGTTTCTTCTTGAGAATGGCTAATGAAAACATCACCAATCTGATAAGGTATCATTAAGCAGTCGTCATCTGCAAGCATGATGTCCTCACAAGCATCTTCTAAATTCTGGAGTTGTTTCTATAAATGCAAAAGTAAACAGCTATGAAAAATGTATTCAAAATTCCCTAATAGAGGCTAAAAGCCAATTTTAATTTGGGCATATCAACTCTTTGAGGGACCCTTCCACAAAGGTATTATCACACTAAACTAAGACTTCCTTACATTTTAGACAGCATTTCATAAGGCAGCACTTAAGAGCTCACTGGCTCACTGTCCTCTACATAGTTCCAGACTGCTGTAAGCCTCCTGTAGTGGACAGCGGGTACCCATGGCCACTTAAAATATCTCCTAGTTTGTTTCTGTGAATCCTGTCTTCCAATAACAGAACAAAAACACAAATACAAACCTGCATTTCTCAACCTTGCTTGATGATAGGAGGAAAGCAAACAGTAACATAAATTCCCCTAATCAAATGCACTTGAACTTGACTTCAGCTCAGAGAGCTGCACGAGAAGAGGCTGGGCACAAGGCCTGACGTCCAGGGTGGGACAGTATCCACATCGTGGAGGAGGCAGCTGGCTGACAACAGCAGCTCCATCACCAGCCCAGGCCTCTGAGATGTGGCTCTTGGACCCTCAGCCTACAGTCACACCCCTCAACAATCCACATGTCATCTCACCTCCCTTAACCAGTGTCTCCCTTCCCTAACTAGAGAGTATCATGTTGTCCACCACAAATATCATCACGTATCATTGAATTTAGTTTTTAAAAGCGATAGCATGAAGAACTTTTATTTTTCTTAAATAAGATACATATTTTCAATTACCTTTTTTACTTCTATTTCTTCCTTCAGCTCTGTGATTCTACTTGTATTCCGTGCAAATTTGTTTATCTTTTGTTGATCTTCAAAAGTAACATTGACATCTTCTGCAGCCTGAAAAAAGCATTGAAACTTTTGGAGAATTGATTTTAATGGAGAAGCTATAGGTTAGTTTTTACTATAACTCTGAAATAACTTAGTAAACTACTTGCCCTCAGAGAGTCCAGAATCACAAGGAGTTCAGATTATCACAAACACAGGCCTTACTAAGTTTCTGCTCCACGAGCTTAAGATTTGTTCATGAACATATAACCTCTTCTGATATTCTATGGAATAATGCCTAGGCTGCAAAAACATTTCAAATGTAAAAAACAATTAAGAATAAGTCCTGAATCAAGTCAGTCAACATTTGGCCTCAAGCAGAATTTCTCAAATCGGACCATTCTTTTAAAATAACCCAGGGAGCAAAAGTGATGTGGTATTTAAGTTTGGTAAATGCCTCTGACTAGTTTAGTCTCTCAAAGTAAAACTTGCTTTGCTTGTTGAGGCAAATCTGACAGCTTCTATCATTTTTAATCCAACTGATACACTGGCTTTAGGGTCACTATGCATTTTCGTAACTATATTCCACATATGCATAGTAAAAATTATGTTCATTTTAATGTAGAACCTGTTTATGTGTCTTAATTACGAATAAAGTATAACTCATTGTAAAATGATAAAAACTGAATATTTTTAAACTATGTGATTAACTTTGTAAATAAAATTAGGCTGCTGAGATGACAAAGCATCTATGAAGTCACATGAATAGCTAACATTTACTGAGCACTTACTATGTAAGAAGAACTTTCTAAGTCCTGTATCATCTCTGCTAATCCTCCAATCAACCTTAATAAGTAGATCATTAGTATCACTATTTTACAGTTGGAGAAAGTGTGGCACAGAGAGGTTAAGTAATTTGCCCAAAGCCATACAGCCAGTAAGTGGTAAAGCTCAGTTTCAATCCGTGTAGTCTAGCTCTAGAGTCCAGACAGGTCCATGAGCTCTTGGAAATAAAGGCGAAAGAGTGTGAGTGTGTATGTGTGTGTGTGTGTGTTCACACTCAATCATGCGTATCTGCAAAAGGTAGCTGAAGTCCATGGCTTTCATCAGATTCTCAAAGAGGGACCACATGGTTTAAAACAATTTTTTGATACCAGACTACCTTAGAGTCTCCCCTCATTTATAAAACAGGAACAAGGGCACTTGATCATAATTTAAAGGAGGAAGTTGATATATAGTTATAGCTTCCACAAGCACTATTTTTAGCTCTTGCCTTTAACAGTAATGGTTCACAATAACCACACCCCATCCTTTCACCTGGTCTCTCATGATCAACAACATAAAATATGCACACTTCTGTTTCTTTTCTTTGAAAGGCAACCTGTTGTCTCAAGCAACGTGGAGGTTAGTGGTCGGGATATAAAGACACTCACCTAGAATTTAGCCCTCCCCTCTCCCAGGCTCTCATCAGCCAATAAATATGCATCAGGCTTATTATCATCAGAGACTCAGCAAATATCTTCAAAAAAATCCTTACGTCACAATATACATATAATTTTGAATGTTTAACCTTGTGCATCATTTTTAGGAGCATGGAGGTTGGAAACACTAAGCTACACTACAGAAGCCAAAGTAAGGTCCATGTGCACCGGGTGTGTTGGCATTCAAGTCACCTGCCTACACAAGGACTCTTCAGTTCCCTAAGGGAACACGGAACAGAGAATTCCAGCGTTCCGGCTCCTGCAGAATTTAGACACGCAGTCCCCGAAAGCCTGAAGATGTATTTATAGATGCATTTGTCATCGCGAGACTTTAACGGGGCAATCCCCGGGAAAGCACCCAGCACCGGGCTTGCCTGAAACACAACGGGGGCTTAACCCATTGTTTCTGAACCAGAATCCAAATCATGTTCCATCCGACTCGCTGATGCACGGTTTCTGAAAAGTTGCACAGAGAGTTTGGCCACCTGCCCTCTATCTTTCCAAAGCAGGCGTTTTCCTGTGGCCTCCCCGACAGCAGCCCCAGCACGCGCGGGCCCTGCAGCTCACTTCCGTGGCGGCGGCTCCCTCACGGGGGTTAAGGGCTCAAGTCGGAGTGGGAGGCGAACCCGCGGGCGCCGCTTACACTGCACGCTGCCCGAAAACGAGGAGCCAGCACCTTCCATGACTAGCAGCAGCGGCTTCCGTTTTCATCTCACTGATCTAGAACACTCCTGCGTTACTGGAAGCACCACGCTGGTGGCCGGGGGCGGGGGGTTGGGTACTAATGCCTCACGGGGGGGCGCGCAGACTTTGAGAGGTCCACTCACCCCCTGAAACTGTATGCAAAATGGTGTGTGTTGTACATGCTTTCTTCTGGAAGAGTCTTCATGGCTTTCATCGGATATTTAAAGGGACCCACACCCCCAAAGATTAGGAACTCCTGCTTTAAGAGAAGCTAGATGCAGTTACTGCCGCTCACAAAGCCAAAATAACTGAAGGAGCAAGGCGTTATTTAGCACTTGGGAAAGCACAGAGCGAGCAAACTGGATTCAAATCCAAGCATGCAGGAACCTTGCACAAATTGTTCGATTTTCTGAAACCACCTCAAGTTTGTCATCTGTAAAAATAGAGAAGCCATTTCTACCCTGCAGAGGTGACAGAATGAGCCCTCTGGCACAGGGCCTGAGGATGGACTTTGCCTTTCAATAAATGACAGCTATGTGTTTTATTTCCTGAATGACATTTACCAAAAATCATCAAAAAGAACAGACCCAGATGTGAAAGAAAATTCTGCTAGGTCTCAGAGGAATAGGACTCCTCAAGATTCAAGGTGAAAATGTAAATTCTCTGCACCCTGATTGCACCCTTATCTGGAGAATCAGTCTCTCATGGGACTTTGGGAGGACAGGGAACCCCACTCCGTCAGACTCCACACCAAGTCGGGGTCTCACCTGCAGAGCCTGCACTGACAGCTGGGTCCCTCATGGTTCTAAAAACCTAAAAGGAAATTCTGGCCAATTTAGCCTGCTTGTATTTTTGGTTTTTAAAGGTACCTACCCAGTTTCTACAGTAGAAATTTTTGCTTCATATTTTTATTCACCTTTCATGCATACAGTCATGTGTATTATTCAGTGTTTCCTATGTGCGAGGCACTGTGAAAAGAGTATTCATAAGGGTCCTCCCTTCGTGAATATCGGCGAGCTTACATTCCAGTAGAGGAGGTGAGCAAAAAGCAAGGTTTTCTGCTAGATGGGATACTTTGATGGTGAAAGTAAAATAGGTGAGAGGGTAGAAGTGCTGGGGGGACAGGGGGTGGAGGGGGCTTCTCGGAGGAGGCATTTACACTCCAGATGACAAACAGAAATCATTCTTCGGTCTCCCTCACGGCCAAGGACCAGGTTTGAGAAAGCAGAACTTCAGAGACGATGGGACTGAATCCTCTCACTTTCACATTTCTCCAGAAAAGGTCATGACCCATTGGGAAGCGATGTGTTATAAATACGAGGTACTCCAGATTGCCGACAATTTTTATTATTAAAGTTGAAGGGCTGGCTAGCCCTAGGATATTTCAGTCTCACTCACTGGCATGCCCCTGTTTTCCCTTAGAGTGGGAGGGAGGAAAAGGCACCCGCCACTAACCTATCAGAAATTGTTCAGAGCACCGGAAACATCATCTACAGGAAGACGCTGCATCTATGAGAGCCCTACTGAGATAAAGAAGATGTTCTTTTATGTTTTGGCCGCCACCTACCCCTCCACACGTTTTTTTTTATCACCGTGGTTCAACCTCTTCCCCACCACCTCTCTGGCCACCCTTTTATCAAGGTCTGTGCTCCCCGTCTGGGATGCCTCCCTGCCTTTCTAACACTCTCTTCTCCTCCTTAGGGAATCAGAGAGATCCCACCTTCTCGGGAAAGCCTTCTCTGATCTCAAGGCAGACCTTATTCCAACCCTCACATTTCATAAGAACCTTTCTTTCATAGTCCTTATTGGAGTTGTCAATTTTGCAGTTCTCTGTGTGACGACTGAGCAATGCCCACCTCTCCCCAGAGCGTTTGAGTTCTACAATGCTCAGCTCTGAGGATCAGGGGAGAAAACTTCATCACTGCTCACATTGTTATGTTATTGCCATCGCCTAAAACTGAGACTGTGCCGTGGCACGTGCTCCAAAAGTTGGTCGAATGAATAAAAGGAAAAAAAATGCTGGTAATCAAAGATGTTGCAATCAAGCCCGGGGTTCAAATTATTCTTCTACTATTTTCTTTAACACTTACCGCATCTCTCTGGACTTCAGTTTCTACATCTGTCAAACGAGGATGAACCACAACTACTGTCTTCTGTGGAAAGGCCACACCTAACAGAGGGCCCAATTCAAATACAAAACAGAGGAGGCCAGGTGAATCTCATGTAGTTTCATGCCTGTCTGAATCACCATGGCCCTAAACTCTACTCTGGAACGCAGCAAGAAATCTGTGGACGACAGACCAGTGGGATGAGCAACGCATCCTTGTTCGCCCAGGACTTTCCCAGTTTTAGCACCCTCTCAATCTCAGGCAAACTGGGACGGACTAGTCACCCTACACCGAGAGCAGGCGGCTCAGATGATCAGGTGCTGCGGATGGGAAAGCAATGGAAGCGAGCTCCGGGATGATCTCAGGAGTGGAATGAAAGCAAGCGTGCAGGAAACCTACAAAGCAAAGCCCTTCAGCCAGGGGACTCTCATCAGACACCATGGATGTTAAAAACAGAGGCTCTGCAGAGACAATGCCCATGTTTACAAATTTAAATCCTAACTTTGCCTCTATGCGTCAGTTTCCTCATCTATAAAATAAGGATAAAACCAGCACCATCCTAAAAAGGAGGATAAGATTAAAATAAATAATGTATGTGCACTGTGCTTAGAACCGTGCCCAGCGCACGGTAAAGCCTCAAGAAATATCGGGTGTCCGATGTCACTACTTCCTTGCCTCTCTCCATTTTAATTCTCTCCTATCTAGACACCTTCACGCATCTAGGTAGAATTACTGAGTTATAAGCCCTGAAATGGGAGTTTTGGTTCCTTAGGACAATGAAAGGTGGGCTTTGGGAAAAACAAAATAAAACCTGAGTCTGAACTCCAGCTCTGCGTATTAGCTGAGTCACTTTGAAGCCACTAACCACTCCGTGTCTAAGTTTCTCCATCTGTAAAGCTGGGGGTGGGGGGAGGTGGGAGAGGGACGTCCCTTGCTAAGTTCCTGGAAGGATCACAGATAAGAAACGGGCGGCTTCTGGGTCCTGGCCCATCGTCTACCCTCAGTGCACATGGTTTCAGCCTGGAGGGCGCAGGGGCATCGGGTGTGGATATGGGTGGCTCAGGACTAGGCACTGGGGCTTGGGGGCCAGACACTCCGGAGACGCGGGGTCCTGCTCTGCTCCTCACAGCTGCGTGACCTTGGGCAGGTGACTCCACCTCTCTGGGCCTCAGCTTCCCCGTCTGCAATGAAGGTGCGAGGAGCACCCATCCTCGAGAACCTGTGCGGGAAACTGATGACCCAGGTAAAGCGCCCAGCGTTGTGGCCAACCGCAGTCAGCCCGGCCCTCCGGCTGCCCAC